AAATGTGGTTCTTAAGCAGTACGCTTCTATCTCTAGTTTTCCAACTTGCAAACACCATGATTATTCTTGCAATTTATATATCATTTTATTATGGTCTAGAGATGTCTATAATATACCCTTTTATTTTCGTGAGTAATACGTACGTACTATCGATTGATGTCTTTTGTGCTTTTTTTACAAAGGTAATAAAAGGAATAAAGATTCAAAATAAATAATATGAAAATAATTTAAATAAAACAAAATTTAGATTTATAGTTTATTTTTCAAAATGATAAAAAAAAAACTTAGCATTAAAAAACAAATAGCTAATTGATAGTTATTAAAACTTCCCAAATTTATCGAGTACTACCCGAAATCAACATTCAACTTCCAAACCAGTCCAATTTCGATAATCTAAATTTTAAAAAATGGTTTTAAAACTGAAAACTTGAAGACCAAATTTTCATATATTCTGATAATCTCATTGGATGATGGGACCCACGAACCGACTACATTGATAAGTTATTCAGGAAACTGAGAAAGTGACAGTTATCCAAACCATCATATCACACGTTTTCTTTGCCCAAACCGAACTTGAAGAGCAACCGGTTAAGCTGATTCGATCCTAACCGGTAAAGTTACACCATGTTTATCTTCTGGTTGAAGCCGCTTAGCTTGGTCCCACTTAAAAGTATATGATTGGACTCGTGAGTCCGGCGTGGTCCTAGCCACTGTCGAGTCAGCCACTGCCAACGAACCACCGCTCTTTCCGGTCTAATGAGTGGGCCTTAGTGGGCCTCTTATCATTTTGTAGGGCCCAAAGTAATGGAGCTACACGTGAAGCTCGTGCGAGTGTGTGTACACTAATTCATCTCTTTATTTATACACCAATCCATATTTCATTGGACTACACCTCACACTCATACACATGACATGCATGTATGTTAAAGGGAATTTGTTTTTGCTGCATGGTATTAGAATGCACCAATCGAGAACAAAAAGATTGGTTATGATTTTGCTAATGGACGATTAAGTAGTATATTGTTTGATGAATTCGTTTGAATGTGTATGAGATAAGTTGATTTTCAATTGGTTTGGAGAAAATTAGTTTAATTTGAACGTAGAAAAAGATGTGGATGTGTACTTATGGCGAACATTTGTAATTGCAGATTCCAAATGAAATCGAAAGAAGAAAAAGATGATGGGGTGTAAATTTGTATAATTTCTTCTCTTTTTTTTAAATGATTGGTTGATTGTGGAGTTGCGGAGATGAGTCCTCCACCAAAATGCATTCATGGTCATATAAGCCTATAAGGATATGACGACAAGGAAATATACAAATCATATAGGGCACATTAATAGAGTTTAATTTTGTCTTATTAAAGCATTTCATATAACCATATATATATTCAAGAGTGTGTTAGAGTAGAAATGATTGACTCTTTATTCTAGCGTATTGATTAACCTTTTTTTGCAATGCAATGGTGGCATGATATTACTTATTGATTTTTGTTCAATAATCATATTATTGACATGCATGAAAATGAAATAAGCATAACTAAAGAAAATTATTGCAGCATTTTTGTAACGGTGATATGTTCTTATTTGATTTGTAAGCTTCTAACCAATCAAATTTTATGTCTTTAAGTACAAGAGAGTAGTTACTACATTAAAGTAATAAAAATCACCCGTGCACAAGAGTCGTAAATAATATAATTATCCCTTAAAAATAAGCTCAAGTGTAAATAATTACAAAAATATAATCATGCCTTTTTTAGTGCTAAAATATATTTGCACTTTGTGAATACGTTTCCTCCACAACTTGTCAACGTTCCCACCTAATGCTAAATTATTAGGGAGCAATTCTTATAAATTTTCTTATTAACTATTGTTTTAGAGTCACCTCATATATATGGTTA